GAGAGGGCGGGGCGCGGTGGGCTGCGGGCGGGGCCGCGGCGCCAGTGTAGGGAAGGGAGAGGAAGGAGTGGGAGACGGGGGTCGGTGAGGAATAGGAGAGAGACAGAGTGAGGAGAGGAGGGATGAGTATCTGGTCTTTCCCGCGTTCCTTGGATGATGATGCCAAAGTAAGCACAGTTTATCTCTTCCGGGGGGAGCACTGAGGCAAAGGGAGAGGAGAGCTGTTTCTGGGAGAAGAGAGACAGAAATGCACACGCATGTGCCTTTAGACACGCATGCTGAAGTCTCACATGTCCCTTCATGCACACAAACTTGTACACACACCCGCCACACTCACCCTCACGCTCAAGAGTTTCCCATTGTGGGCTGCAATTCGATGTGCATTAATACTAAGCTGCCAAATCATCCAGCAGATCCAACGTGTGTGCATGCGGGATGAGATACACATTTCTGTCAAACTAGCCAGAGCCACGATGGGGAATGCTCTCGGGTTTATTCTTTATTGCCTACTGCAGCATAAGACAATAACTCATGCATAAAGCCTCACAGGAAAAGGAAATCTGGAAGATATTTTAAGCAAATTTACACCATCAGAATTAGCCTATATGTGTTCAGCACTTCATGTCAGGTAGCTACAACTTTTTTGGTACCATACAAGATTTACCATATTACTGAATCATTGCCTCTTTCTCTCAGGAACACTGCATTCACATGCATAACTAATTCACTTACACACACATTTACAAGCATGCCTAGACTCCCAGATGTTTGCAGAACACTACAGAGATAATACCTGCAGGTCTGTGTCAGAACCCTCCAGGAGTGAAGCAGGACAAAGATGCACACCGTAATTTAAAGCTTTTTACATTTGATAGTTTTTGTATGTACAAACTTAACGCTCCTCTGTGGATGTGTGTGTGTGTGTATTTGTATGTAATATTTACCCATTTATCTAAGCTACTGATAACTTTAAATACCAACTTATCTCTTCCTTTTTTCCAGTACTGCTGTATGCATTCCTTTTCCTTGCCCTCCCCTTCTATTACCCCAAACTCTTTTGTGGGACCTATTTTACAGCGTTGAAATACTGCTGTAGAAAAATGCCAATGTCTTACAAGATAACGACTGCTTTCTTACAGAAAGGAGTCATCATTTAACAGTTGTTCTCTGAACACGAAGCAGCAAATAGCTGAGCCTGTAAATCTAGAATGAGCAGGGAAAGTTGGAGAAATTCTGCCTCGACTTGTTGGAAACCCAACTCCAGGTTGCAAAGGGTTTAAGTCAGTATGTGTGAAACCCTACAGCAATAATAACAGAAGTCAATTACCACTTGCTCATGGGTCATTTCTTAACATATACAACCTTATCTAACAATAATACATGGGGGGGGGAATTAAAGTTGACAGCTCACAGCTATCAGCTATTAGTTAATGGTACTAATACCATAATTCTTTGGAAAATATTCCTCCCTCCATGGTAAAGATTTCCATTTTTACAATATTTTTTAATTACTAAGGAAAGCTTATACTTTTTCATGCAATATTAATCTAGTTGAAAGTTCAGTTTTCTGACAAAAGGTGTTTTGAAAGAAAATTTTCAGCCCACTCTCAGCAGGGTGTAGCAGAGCCAAGAAAATAAAATTCTTTTGTTGTTTCTAGACTCAGCAACCATAGAATAATCATAAAAACCTAGTATTTTTAAAACTGCCTCTCGTTCATGCATTTAGAACAATTTACAGTACAGGTTAGATACCAACAATTCAGATACTTCCTAATCTCACAGCAAATTTAAGTACAACTTTCACCCTGTCTCTCTGCCCTGCCCCAAATGAGGAATTGGCTTCATACTTCAGTAGTCTAAAACCACACCCACCTTTCTGTGTCCGTTTGAAATCTCCTCCGTTTGAGCTCTTGCAGCTGGACACAGCATGGGAATATATTAGTCTCCAAAAGCCTCTCAGAACAGATAGTATTGTAAGTAAACACCAGAAGTGAAGCCCAAACCAAATGATACAATTCAAAGATGAAAAGATGACACTCAGATTCTCAGAGCTTAAATTTACTTAAGAGATCTTGATGCCCAAATCACACTAGGAATTTCATGTTCAGCTCTCCTTCCCTCTCTCTGTCTCAGTATCTGATGCTCTTTTTCTTCAATAAAATCCTATCAGGAAATAAGATTTCTTTTGACGTACAAGCAATTAAGGACCTCTTTTCAGATCTGAGCCACAGCCCAAAGACCAAGATCAATGGGTGTTTTTCTGTTCATGGGATCTTAATAGTTCCCTGAGCGCTCGTGTTTACCACTTTTTAGAATCAGTCTGGAGTACTAGAAAGAAAGAAAAACTGTCCTAGAACAGCAGCAACATGCCATTTCATTAAAACAAACTCTGTTTGCTTTCCTCCGTTTCTCCAAACAAGAGGCTTCTTGACATTTGTTTACTATGATGAAATAAACTCTCTTCTGCCAGCAAGAAAGAGGTCCCAGTTATTATGTCTTCAGACACAATTTAGAACCTTGAAGAACATACAGTTCCAGCTAAATTAGCTGGTAACATGGCTTGGCTGGATGTCATGGGGAGGATGAACAAATAATATTAAAAATTTGCTGTGGTTATATGCAGGATTTCTAGAGGAAGGATAGCCTGACTGGAGATATTTGGCATGCGGGAAACCTAGACAAGGACTATAAAATCCTCAAAATCTCATTTGGCAAAATCTCCCCTCAGGAGAAGAGGAAACACCCAGGAAAACCTGACTTATGATAACCCTGTCAATATTCTGTTAGTAATGGTCCAAATACTACAGCCTACAGTAATACAATAGTTTGAACAATTTCTGTAGCAATATCACATGTTTTTTGTAGGGGCCTTATGGCATTTCTGGAGTATCTAATCTACCCTGCAAGCAAACCAGCATCCATGGAACATACTACATTCCACAGCCAATCTCAAATAACCAGTTTAGCTGTCTTAAGGCAAGGTTCTGCTTGGAAAACTGTCGTTTTCAGTGGTACAGCCAGGCACCAAACTAAGGAAAAACCAAAAATGTTTCAGTCCAGAACAAAATATGCTCAATTTACGTACAGAGGAGTTTTGAGTTTGTCTTTAAAGAAATGCCAGTCCAACATGCTCACCACCGGCTTTGGTAAACAAGTTTGAGTTCTTTCCATCTGGTGCCCCACCAGGAGTAATAATGTGCAGCAGGCTACAAGATGCTCATTTTGCCTTCAGTGGTCCTGGTCAGGAATTACGGACTAGAGCAATATGAGCCACTGATCCTCGTGCAAGTATGAATAATCCTTTTGAAAACTGATCTGTGCCCAGTAGAACAGCTAGGGTATGCAACAGTTGCATGATCATTTTCCCAGCGTTGCCCAGGGAAGTTCATCATATTTTCATTTCTAAGCAGAGAATAGAAACACTTCCACAAGTCTATTAAGATTCCTGCAAAGATGGGAAAGGGGAAAAGGAAGAAAGAGAAGAAAGAGGTCTGTCTCATTTGACTGGGGGACAGAAAATAACACTGTATTATATAATCTATTAAATGTTCCAAGCTTTATTTCACATTAAAGCTCAATGCCAATGGTTTTATGTGTGTGTGTTTTTGTAAAAAATCTGTGTAGCTGTTCTGGCAGATCTGCACTGATCCATTGCCATAATTTTTTTTTCCCAGTGGTTCAAATCTCTGACATCAACACAGTGCTCTAGTACAACGATACTAGACTAAATAGTTTAATTTGCAGTGCTAAGCTCTAAATTGTTTTCCCTGTGGTTTGAGAGTGAAAATTTGGCACATCAAACAGGCCACAAGATCATCCAAATTAAACTTCATCCAAACAGTTGAACCCACTCCTGTAAGCACAGTAAGCAAATTTATATCCAAGCATTTGGATTTACATCATCTTGGATTATCTGCTAGCATATGTAGAACATGATAAAACGGGTGATTACTCAATCACTGGCATAAAATGGACCTAAAATAAA